TGGTAAAGTGTAACGATATAAAAAAAATAGAGAATGCTATTGATTAATATCATTTTTGTGACTGGTAATATTAATTTTACTGCAGGATTAAAGTATTAGGAATCAAAACTAAGAAAATTATTTGTTAAATTAGATCCATTTGTTTGTTTAATCAGCAGGTAATCAACGAAACTACATCTAGCTGAATAAAAAAGCAAAAATCTATTTCCTTTTTGTCGGCCAAAAATTGATTATTSAAGATTAAAATAAATATATATGTGTGTGTGAAATGTAAGTAACGTCTTGCAAGTGTGGACCTTTCCGTCTTGAGTTTCCGAGTTTACTCTTCTTTGAAAGACCTTCCACAAAATGCATAAAAATCCACACTTTTTTGTTGCGACTTTGACATTATCTCTCTGACTCCATTCTTTCTTACCAAATCCATCTTTCCATTGACACTTTTGTTGACCTAATTCCTCCAAATTCCTCTATCACATTTCCGATTCTCGTCGTCTGGGAGATAAAAAAATCTCCCAACTTTTTGGTTTTTCAATGTCTCTGAGGTGTTTTCCCATTTGGGTTTGTCCCCAAACGATTCATCSTTCTCCTCTGGTGGGTCTCGACGCTAAACGTCGTCGTTTCGGTTTCTGGGAGTGCTCCTCCTCAGCTTCCCAGAGAGCCGTCACTGCCAYTGAAGGCGAGATTCCGTACGGTCGTGAGCTCAAAAAGCCCTCTGGTGAAATGGGTCTGACTCAGGAGACCGAGTCTGTTACTTTTCATAGAGACTTGAGCRTGCTTCCTAGTGAGTCATCTCGGTTCCTTCTTCACCTTCTCATAGAGACTTGAGTAKGGTGTTCACGTGGAAATGTTGATTGGTTGTTTGTGTTTATGAGATCRTCCACTTGGAAATTGTAGATCTTAGGGGCTTGTTTAGCTGAATTTTGGAGTTTTGGGATCCTTTGTTTAAGCAGATGAGAGATCATTACAGGTTCCACATTCATATCAATGATCATGTTACTTGTATCTTTTTACAGGAAATCTTTGCTGGTTTGTGTTTTTCTTTCGATATAGTTGTATTAAAGTACTCTGTTCTCTAGATTTTATGAATTTAAGAGTTGTTTCGTCAGCTACATTTGACATTACATTACTAATGATTTCTCGCCTATGCCCATTTCTTGATTCCGTGAATGATACAATGTCGTTTGAGTTTGACATATTAGTAGCTGGATTTGATGTTTCAGATTCGGTCTTTCATATTGTGTAGTCTCGTAATTGGATCAATCATTGTCATTTGCATTGTGGCATGGGGGCTTTACTACACATGAATCGATCTGTTTTGCGTGAGACTATAATCGAATTTCAAAACATTGTTCATGAAAATGGAGATATGTTTTGTTACTAGATTCTTTCTTCTTTCTTCTCCATATTGGCAGCTGCATTTGATTTTTCAGATTCGATCTTTCTTGTCGTGTGGTCTCATAAATTGATCGATCATTGTCATTTGCATTGCGACATAGGACATGCTCCACATGTGTATCGATCTATCTTGAAAATGGAATACTCGATATGTTTTGTTAATACTAGATTCTCTATTCCATATTAGTAGTTTTGTTTGATGTTTCAGATACGATATTTCTTGTCATGTAGTCTCATAAATAGAACAATCATTGTCATTTATATCGCAGCATAGCGCTTGCTACATGTGTCGATCTGCATTGAAAAATGGAGTACTCAGATATTTTTTTGTTAAAACTGGATTCTTTTTCCATATTAGTAGCTGCATTTGATGTTTCAGATTCGATCTTTCTTGTCATGTATTCTCATATATATATATCAATCATTGTCGTTTGCATCGCACCTTAGGGCTTACTACTCGTGTATCGATCTGTTTTTGAAAATGGACTACGCATTATGTTTTGCTAATACTGGATTCTTTTGTCCATATTAGTAGCTGCATTTGATGTTTCAGACTCGATCTTTGTTGTCGTCTAGTCTCTCATTAATAGACCAATCATTGTCGTTTGCATCGCGCCTTAGGGCTTGCTACGTGTTATTGATCTATTTCGAGTGAAATGATACTCTCTTTTCCAAATGTTGTTAATGAAGTAACGTACCAAGCCCCAAAAGTATAATGAAACTCATATGCATTGTCTGACCCCTTGTTATTATCGATCTAATTCCTTTTTCTTTATCTCTCCCCAGTGCAAGTCCTAACATTTATGGTTGATTACAGAACCTCTAACTGCAAACAGCCTTTACTCTTCTGATGGCGATGATTCAAAAGTGCGAATTTCGTTTCAGGTGAAATRTTACTTTCCTCTCCTAACTGCAAATTTGTATTTCTCTTCTTTCATTTGTTGGTATTTTACATACATTCTCCACTTGCAGGGCTTACCGGGTGCATATAGCGAGACAGCAGCACTAAAAGCATATCCAAATTGTGAAACTGTGCCATGTGAACAGTTTGAAACTGCATTTCAGGTGTTGATTTATCAGTCACCTCTAACATATTCATACCCCCACATAAATAGTATTGATGCTTTACGATGATTGTTTCTTCAGGCTGTTGAGCTGTGGTTGGTGGATAAAGCAGTATTACCGATTGAGAATTCAGTAGGTGGTAGTATCCACCGTAATTATGATTTGCTTCTTCGTCACAGGCTTCACATTGTCCAAGAAGTCCATTTGCCTGTAAATCATTGTCTCTTGGGAGTGCCTGGTGTGAAAAAGGAAGATATTAAACGCGTTCTTASCCATCCTCAGGTTCTTCTGCTACCATTTCCTTTAGGTGCTTGTAAGTTCTTTGATTTGAGTACATTTTTTTCTCTGCAGGCGCTTGATCAATGTGTGAAATCACTTAACGATTTAGGCATACAGAGAGTTTCTGCAAAAGACACTGCCACTGCTGCTCAGGTGACAGATAACGAGTTTTTCAGTTCATTTCACATGAAAGGTTTACTTTTCTCCCCTTTGAAATAATTGAATATAGAAAAGTGTTTTTCAGACTGTTTCTTCAAGCGGTAAGAGAGAGATAGGAGCAATCGCAAGTGTACGTGCTGCAAATTTATATGGTCTAGATATTCTTGCCGAGAACATACAAGTAAGTGGTCTCCATCCTCTAATTGACTGATATATTTGTAAATATACCAACATATAGAAATATGAATCATTGGGTTGGAAGTGGAGAGATTTATGACATAGAAAGAATGTGAATAAACATATCAATTATCTGCAATCTTTACGTTGATGTTTTGTTCTTTCAGGATGATGCTAACAATGTGACCCGCTTTCTGATACTTGCCAGAGAGCCTATGATTCCAAGAACAGATAGACCATATAAGGTAATAAAAATCCCATTTTTATAAATTAACTATATCGGCTGAAGATTATGATTCTCAGTACTAATGCTTCTGTATCCCTCAGACAAGTATCGTGTTCTCTCTAGAAGAAGGTCCTGGTGTGCTGTTCAAGGCCTTGGCTGTGTTTGCTTTGAGAAGCATTAACTTATCCAAGGTAAGTTTTGAGTTTGAAGACAAATTGTTTACTATGATCAGTAGTTCATTCAAAAAATACAAATACGAGACGTAGCTTCCGCTATTTTTTAGATAGAAAGTCGTCCACAGAAAAGAAGACCACTAAGAGTAGTTGATGGTTCTAACAATGGAACTGCCAAGTAAGTAGTTATCTAACACACAGCATGAACACCTCTTTTTTTCTAGAAGTACTTGAGTGATTGTTTTGTGATGATGACAGGTACTTTGATTACTTATTCTACATTGATTTTGAAGCTTCAATGGCTGAAACACGTGCTCAGCACGCCCTCGGTCATCTACAGGTCCCAGTCCTTGCAACCCGAGAGCTTTATTTCCAGGCTTAGTCTAACCGGTTCTAAAGATTAGGCCTTTCGTTTTTGCAGGAATTTACAAGTTTCATCCGTATCCTCGGGTGTTATCCAACGGATTTAGTCAGATAACCGAGAAAAAAACTCCGATAGATGTTTACCATACCCTGCAGAACCATGTGAATATACCCAAATAGAAGAACCAGGTTCGTGGCTTTGGTATACTGCAAGACTCTTCTTTCACCTTTTTCTCATCTTAGAAGTTTCGCTTCAAACTCTTCATTGCTGAGACAAAAACAGTTATCTAGCTTTTAAATTAAGAATATATTTTGTGCATTTAACATATATTCTCAGTTAAGATCAGTGTTTGACTTGGTAATTGTCTGAAACCAAACCCTGATACTAAATACATCTCCAGTTCATAACGATCGATAAGTTTCATGATCTTCATTACAAAAGGTGGGACTTTGTTGATCTTTCAATTCAAATCAGGAAATGAGTACTTCCCAAAACAAAAACTAAAAACTAAAACCAAGATACCGAGTAATATCAGTTCGATTTACCGACTGAGAAGCCCTACACACCAAATACGGTGATTCATACAGTTTTATCCTAGTCTCAAAAGTTCCACTAGGGAAAACAGAACTTCGAGCTCTGATTAGTTTGAACTCATTTTGGCGAAATGGTTAAAAGCAGACCGAAATGATCACTAGGCAACACTGGAAGTTCTAACTCCTTGACCGCACCCCTCACTTTCTTCTCTTTCACATATGATAAACCAGGAATCGCCTCTTTCCCAACCATCTCGATTCCACCAAGCTTGTAATCATCCAGACGACAGAAAATCCGGTCCAACCGTTTCTGTAATGATCGATTACCGGACAACATTGGGTTTGCTTTTGTGTCGTATGTAAAACCGGAATCACCTGGTTTCAAAACCTCCCAAACATCGACCCATTTGTCTGGCAAAGGAAACTTCCCATCTAGCTTGTCGTCCCAGTTCATGTCTCCCCCAAACACCACATTGGTATTAGCTCTGAGAATCTCGATCGCCTCTTCAGCTTGTTGAACACGTTCTCGGCTAAACATTTGGTCCCATTTTGGAGGACCTGGACAGGGACTCTCAAGATGGCTTGTTGCCAGAACAAGTGGCTTTCTCCCCGGAACTTCAACCTCTGCAACAGATAATTCTCTTCCCATTATCGAGTTCCTAAAGCTTTTGCAACTGAAAGATTTCACCCCCACCTTGCTCAACTGCAAATAACCGATAAGGGTCAGTCACAAAATCACAGGACCTCGCTAAATTTAGACACTACGAGCTTAAGACAATTGTGCACAATCTTTACCAGCATGCAGTAGTATCCTTTTGTACGTGCCACATCGACTGAGACAGAACAAGAATACGCTTTCCACCAATTCGATTTGCTGAAAATCTCATATATCTCAGGAGTAACTTCCTACAAGACCTCACACGAAAACCGTTTGTCAGATTACCGAGTTACTTCTAAATTTTGCAGATAGAAGGAATCACTCCATGGGGAATGTAAAAAAAAGACCTGAAAACATATGAGATGAGGAGAATGAAGCTGAATAAGATTGCCTATAGCTTTCATCCTACTAATCAACTCAAGGTCTTCGCGAAACCAAACATTGTAGCTCAAGATCTTCAAGCTAGAGGAAGCTGTTCCTGAATCAGACGCAGACGCTACCCCTACAAAAAACAAGAGTGACAAACAAAGTTAAAGACTTTTGCATCAGAGTATAACGATTCAATCTCATCAGTTCAACGATGAGGAACCAATATCAAGCCAAGTTTTGATAACACACATTACACAGTAACAAACTCTATCCGAGAATACCAAACAGTCACAGACCCAATAGACCTAAAACCCTAAAGAAGTACAAAAAACCGACCTTTCGTTTCAATCTCTTTGTTCTTCTTCACGAAACCAGACGATTCAGAGCGAACAACAGAACCACCATCAACCTCGACGACTTCATCATCCATCGCTTTGCGCTTGCTACACCGCCTTAGAGGAAAGAAAACCGACCCGACAGAGGAATCCGGGAAATTACTTTCGAGACCCGAATCGGTCAATTCGTCAAAGCCCAGTAGAGAAGACGTCGGCGATCGCGTTCCGCAGATATCGCAGACTGAGTTCTTGTACGTGTTCAAAAAAGTGCAGCCCTTGCACGCCCATTTAGGTTCATCGTTCGTGGAAGCTGAGAGAGGAGGAAGAGACGAAGAAGGGTTTGATACAGGAGCCAAGCAGATCATGCAGTTGAGTTTCTGAGATGGAGAATTGAGGAAAGTACACTTGTTGCATGACCAAGAAGACGATGACGACATTGCAAGACTTGTGACGACTCGGAGAAATCGATTCGTTGACATTTGCCCTAATTTTTACTTATCGATTTTGACTTAAGAGGGAAACTCAAACGTATAATACGACGTCGTCGCAAGTTCCCGGTTTAAAATTGATAATCAACAAACTAAACCGCACACAAACCGAATTTAACCAAAACCAGCATATAACACAGATTTTTATACAACATATTGCTTCAACAAAGATACAAGTGACTAGAATGGTCTACTACAAATGAAACAACAACAAATTACAAAATTTTGATGAAATAACAATGTTTTATTACCTAAAATTGTAACTCACCGTGGAAAAATGAAAATTTACCAAAAGGGTAACAAAGTAGAAGTTACAAGAATCATAATACTGACACAGAAGCCTCTTGAGAGACTCCTCCTTGGAGCTTCACCGGATGATGCGACTTGTGTTGAATTCACCACCGTCTGTGTATGATTTCCGACCTTCTTGCTGCACATAAATGATGTAAGAGCAATTAAATATAAGAAAATACAGAATTTATAATGTTTTTAGATAGTTAAGAAAACGACTTTCACAGCGCGAAAACTTTCATACCTTCCTGGGAAAATGCAGCTTCCATGACCTGAAAACATTTGTTTTCCTCGATTTAGAAACTTATATAAACAACAACGCGGAAAAGGAGAACATTGAATTTGTAGTTAAAACATATATTTTTTTTGAATTTTTAAGAACTTGGGACCATTTACACATAAGGTTATGATCTTAGATAAGTATTTTCTTGTTATAGCATGCTTGTAACCAAAAGTAGTAAACATGAAAAAGAATTGAGTTGAATATGAATCAGAAGGTACAAGCAAGGCAACAATATTTTCTAAGATACCGCGGTAGATATCATTAGATTTCCCCAAAACAAACACGCTTTTACTGAATGTGATTCAAGATTCGATATCACAGTGCGTTAAGAATCAGATTTCAAAATTCATGAACAAGAGACCCTTCCTCTGGGATACTAACTTCTATATAAGGCTACAAAGTCACATGTTTTAGCATATAAGCACTAAGACTCTGTTTTGCTCCTATAGACTTTCCCAACTTAGGATCTAAACTCTAACAAACGTAGATAGCGTTTCTTGATCGTCATAAATCTTATACTATAGATCTTCAAAATGTAAACCATAACACAACACCAAAAAGGATCTTACTTGGGTCTGTAGTAGTGATCATTGCCACGCCTTTGAAGTCACATGAACCAGAAGCTCTTCCTTCCTTCTGGTAATAGCTATTGAAAGCAAACGAGGCATGTCCCTTCACATTATTCGGTTGATAACAACTCTCCCCTGGTTGAATCTCGCTACAATTAGCTCTCCCGGGTCCACAAGCCCAATCCAATGCAGTTTGAAGCGTCTTCGAGTCCACACCATCCATAGCAATGCAGTACGTCTGGTTTGTTGTATCGTTCGCTAGAAACGTTCCACTTCCAGATACGTGAAGCAGATAAACCGGCGTAGAGTTCCCATAGAATAATCCCCAGCTAGCTTCACTAACCGGAGGAGCCCTCAAATCCTCGTTAAACAGCTCATAAATGTAGACACTTGAGGTCATCTCAGGGTGCAAAGGAGTACCGGTTCTATCGAATATATGCTTGATCAAATTTGAGTTATACGTATCAGCATTGTCGATAGTAGCATATGGCTCTTTCGAATCACCTTTCGAAGGCCACCCGCTCTCGGTCACAAGCACAACCACATCAGACACATTCAAGTTTTTCATCGAAACATAAGCAGCATCGACCATAGCATCAAGCACATTCGTGTAATGCAACAAAGTATTAGGATCAACCATTTCCTTAGACGGAGTCAAAGGCTTGAACAAACAGTTATCGAGCGGAACCACGCCTTTGTTCTGCATATAAACATAGTAAGGATACATATTCATCATCAAAGGAGAACCCGTTTTCGACAAGAACTGAAGCAACGGAACCAAAACCGAATGCCAAGTCTGGTTAAAGTAAGCTTGAGAAGGCGGGAACGTATCGAGCATGATCGAAGCAGCGTGAGGCGTAGAAACCTTGATTTGAGTATGAAGATTCGAAGCAACAAGAGCATTATACAAAGACTCAATTGCAGGTAACAACAAAGGAGCAGAAGAAGGCACAGTGGTTAAAACCTCATCACCAACAGAAATGGATGTGATTAAGGTTTCAGGGTAATAAGCAACCACATTACGACCAATCCACGACGCAGCGGTACTGTTGGATGATCCGATAGCGAGAAGCTGATTGTTTGGTACACTGATTATGACACGTATCTTGGTTTTAGACAATGCCTTGAGCAAATCTGGATCAGCATCGTATAAACGGACATGGTTTACTTTCTGTGTTTGTAGGAATTTGACTAATTCCGTTGGAGTGAGGAGATTGGAGACATCGGTACCAATGTTGAACCCAACGAAAGGATCTTTGTCTTGTTCCTGAACCTTAATACCTTGCGATAAAGACGACGAATTCGCTGCAACAAACAAACAAAAAATTTGAAACTTGGCAAGGATTTGTAACTAAAAACTACGAATTCAGTAAACTTGGATTCGATTTTGGGGGAAATTTGAACTAAAAAAATGTCGAACTGAAAAATGGGTTTTTTCAGGAAACTTACCAGAAGAAATCAAAAGACTGAAGATTGCAATGAAGAAGAAGAAGAGGAGGACATGAATGGTGGAGACCATGCTAGTGAAAGCCATTGAAGAGGAGCTTGACCTTGGACTTATTATGCAACTCTTCCCCTTCTGATTCAGACTCAGTTAGAGATTCTTGCATTATCTTCCACCTCTTCCGATTGAGTACTTGCTCTGTGGTTGTGATAATACTCTTAAGAGAATCGG